TTTCTCTTGTTCTTGCTTCAATTTTCGGAATCAACTGTAAGCACTTGATTCAGCCCGTAGACGAATTTGATAACGAAAAGGAATTGATTTCAAGAAAGTCTTGTCGCCATAAGAGTCTTTAATTAAAAATTAAATTTTTTTTTATTTTGAAACCATTCCGAAGATACTAATGCATTTTGAGAAGGCAAAGCTGCTTTAGAATTTCTTTAATCACTCAAAAATTGTATAAATGTGTAATTACACTCGAAGAGTATTTTGGCTTGAAATGAAAGGGATTTTTGGCTTTTGTTTACACACACCTTCTGAAAAATTTCCTATTCTTTAATTTACATTATTTCCTCAATATTGAATGTTGGCCGATATGAAAAATATGTAAATCATGTCAACTATAGTGATTTCCTAGCGCATATTTACTGTATCATCAGACACACATACGTAGCTACTTATAATTGCAAATGTTTTTATTTTGCTTCACTCACGTTTTTTGCCTCACATTCACAGTCAATTAATTGGTTAGTTGCTTTGGTTTCAGGTCATTGCTTTCTAAGTTGTTGCGCGGCTAACGAAGGTGGCATACACATGCTAATTTCATGTTACATATGTATGTACACGTATGTACATATGCATATAATTAAAGTGATTTCATAATTTTCATTGTGCTTTATTTTTATTCGTACTGTCAAGCAAACTGCAGTTACAACACGAACAGGCGATGTCAATGTACAAAACAAGCAAATTGTTTTATGTCAAGCAAATTGTGATATGTTTACCTGAACGTACATGCTTACATAGGGGCATGCAAATGTAAGTGCCACCCAATATTTCGTAGGCAATTTTACAAAACACTCTCTCTTATTGGCTGTTGTGTTTGGTTTACTTCGTTGCGCCTCAGTGAAGACGTTTGCTTTTATGTTATATTTTTTAAAAATTTTTCTTATGTTTTCTTATATTTTTCTAAGGCTTCCTCCTCTCCTGTCTACTCTTAACCTCAAAAGATATAAATAAAGGTAAATGTACAATAGACGAACAAGCCGTTGTAGGTATGCCTTTATTAATGGTTCTTTTTATGTATTTAATGTCTGATTCCTTCCGTACAGCAGGTAGCATACTTTAGGGCGTACATGTAAATACATACAATGCCATTACATCGTACTTCATCGTCTTACGTAGTGCAACTTTTTTCCACCTTCTTTCACATCTCGACAGGAAATTGTGTAGAACATCAAATTAAAAGGTTGCCACATTTATAAAATTTAAGTAAAACAAATAGTTGGTTATTAAAAAAATCCTTTTGCTTATCATATTTAAAGGGTTTAAAAATGTTTTCAGATGTTTTTGAAAAATGCTGCCACCTGTCTGAAACTCCTTAAAAACCGGTTATTATTATCTCTCGGATTTGAAAAACTACGTATCGCAGTAGTAAAAATATAAAATAAGAAAACATACGAGTTATGCATTTTGTGGTTTCGAAAATAAGCGTAAATAAAATGCGCTTATAATAATTTTCTCACAAAATTCCAATTTTTATTATAAACCTTTAACCTTTATATGTACATCATTTTAATTACCTCCTTGCGAACGAAGTTTACCAAATGCTTCGTTAAGTTTAAAGTAATTTTCGATAGCTTTTCGGCATATTTTGGGCGGTATCTCAGCCACTACTTGAGAAGTGTTGGTTTTCAGTGCTCAAAAGTTAACTGTTTAAGTTTTCTTTTGTGGCCTCTCTTCAAATAGGATTCTTGAAGCCACAAATGTCACAGTTTTGCTTATTTAAGGGTTCCCCGTGTGAGAACTGTGTGCCTCGTCGTTGAGTAATTTTTTTTTTCGGAGACTCGGCGTCAAAGGTTTTTTTTCGAGTACCCAATCGTACGCGTTATCGATTCGAAATGTGTACTATTAATCGCTATAGGCATGAAAAATGGCTCAGAGAGCTTTTCATTGATTCAGCTTTCATATTTTCGCTGCTTCATCAAGGATACTGATATGTCCAAAATATCACAAAAAAACAGCACTAAAAGGTATTGATTGACCGTGGAAAACCATGTTTTCAGTGTTGTTGTTTAAGATTAGATGCCAAACTTTTGACAATCAGAAAGTATGGGAAATTTTTTAAAAGGAAACAAAAATAACAGCTTGTTTAAGAAATTACTGGAGAAAAAATGAAACACCCACACACTAGCCCATCATGGCCTTACCCGTCAACTAAATTTTATTAAAATTATATTATTTCAATATGTATGTATTTATGAATATTTTTAGTATTGACATTTGACTGTTATTCCTTGCTCTTATTAAAGGAGTATATTTTTTGGCACTTTTACTGAATAATAATAGAATCTTATAAATTTATAATACAGTGGCAAAAACAATTATTAAACAAAATAAACTAAATAATTGCTGAAAAAAAAAATAATTACAGCTATAAAAATGTCTAGATTTTTTAAGTCTTTTAAGTCTTATATAATATTTAATATGAAACAAATTTTCCTAATGCTTGCAGTGTAATAAAAAGCGCGTTTTAAATTATTTTGAAATTTTTATTAATTAAAATCAGTAAAAAAAAATTGTGTAGCAATTCAAGAGTTCATGGCAAAGGGTTAAGTAAACATATTTGTGTCTAAACTCAGAACTAAAACTCCATAGTTATTTTCAGTACTTAAAATCAGCAAATGCAGTAATTTACCGGCGTATGTTTGTATACTTGCATGTTAATAAATTCTACTTTTCTTAAATTGAACATTGTACTCGCGAAGCAATTAAACAGGTTAAACTTGCTCAATTTTTTCCGCCAACAAATATTGTAAATGCACATATTTTACTGTCAACTTAGGTGTACATACATACATATACTCGGGAATAGATGTATTGAATATACATGTGTTTATTTATTAAAATAAATTGCATTTATTTGCAATTAAATATAATTAAATGAATGTCAAAGAAATTGTCTAGAACTGTACGGTTAAAGTAATTATAAATAATTGTTAATTATACATCTGTACATATGCACATAGATACGAATGATTGTAATTATAATGCAGAGAAAAATACTAGTTCTTAACTAGGGTTCAACTACTTTGCATTTTTACACTAACAAACTCATGTTACACACTCTCTCAAGTTGGCAGCTGGTATTTTTAAAACTTTAACTGTCCCACTATACACCAGCTTCACGCCAGTTAAATACTAGTTTATTTACGCATGTTGAATTTTCAATTTATTCAAAAATACAAACAGATTTGTCTGTAGCGAGACTCGAGTCATGAATCTCAAAAGCACGTTAGTCATAACCCCTTACAATGTGACAATGTAAGAGTTACGATGTACCGCACATCAGCAGAGCATAATAACAGTGAAGCTAACATATCAACGGCGTGCTGGAAGTCAAAATCAGATAGCATTGGTGTGGTGAGGGAAATCTCTTGGATGTGACTTACAGCAGGTGAGGTGATCTGGAGCTGGATGTACAAGCTCTTCTTAGTATATGAAGGAAACACACATCTAAAGAACAAGAAAGCACCAAGAGCCAACGGTGAAGAGTTGAGAAGGTGAATTGGTCGGTTTTCATTATAGACAATTTATTCGGATGTGAGCATGTCCAATGAGTGAAACCCAACCCACGAAAAGCGGTGTCCAGAATAACATGGTACATCATCTAGCGTACTGCGTGTAAAATTAAACCTACCAGATATTTATTAAGCGCTATATTTTTGAAGCGATCCCTAAGAAAGGGATAGACACACAACACTTCTTTGTTTTAAAAACCGCCTTCGTTGTTTTTTAATTTGGTATCGGGAAGCTCCGCTCCGAGCCATTTGATACTAAGCATAATATTCATATTGCTGACTTCAACAATAGTGCCGTTAGATTTGACTTTTTCTAGATTAAATAAAACAGCGGAGTGAATGGTTTTGACAGTGAAAATTAGTTTGTGAAGAGGAATCAGCATCAGCATAAACAAAAAGCCTTGCAATGATTCTTTGAAATATTAAATCCTCCCTTGATGGACAAATTTAAGGATCGCATGCTGTGGAAGGATGACCTGTATATTAGCGCCAAACCTTGCCGAAACCCCCCGATTGTATTTCTGCCGTTCGGAGGCGACTTATATTAAATCATAGGTCTCTCCATTTGTTGGAAAAGCATCAAAATCAAAAAAGCAACAAATCAAAAGGAATCCAATTTGACTCAAGGAAAAAAATTTTTTTTTTTATTGATATAGCGAATTCTCAAGGAATGATCTCCTCGAGGCGAAGGAATTCTTTTGAATTACACTAATAGTATTTAGTTCCAAAGCTGCCAACATTCTAATATATCCAGTATATATATCATTGGCGGTTTGTAACCGCTGAAGTAGCTTTCTGCCCAATGCCTCCTCCAATTTGTGGTTTTTGCGTCTTGATGTTTTTTCAACAAATGGAGGGATCTACAGTTTATACCAAGCCGCCTTCGAACGGCTGATGGTTTTCTTATGAGGAGTTTTTTTTTCATGTCCGAAATACACTCGGAGTGGTTGACATTCCTTGCCGAGGGGCGACCACAATTGGAGAATTTAACTTAATATTTAATTAAATAAATTTTCCGTAACTTTTGAATGTTGGTCTCACGAGAATTTGAACCCGAGCCTTTCGAATGGCAGTACGCAATGCTAACCACTCGGCTACCGCGGCCGATATTTTAATTTATCAAAAAGCTATTTCAAGTTTTTGTTAGCATCTTTTGAATTTTTTCGTCTCATTCAATGTAAATAGTTCAATTTGTTTACTTGAATTAATTACGCTCTAAGAATCTGCATAATTAAAAAATTTTGCGCCCGAAATAAAATTTTCTTGCATAGAAAAGTGTAGATTTCCACCACCGCGTTTTTAAATCTGGAGAAAGCTTATACATCAACTTTCGCATTGAACGAGTTGATTTTTCAGTTTAATTTTGGTTTTTACTTTTTGGCCTTTGCATAGGGTTCATACAAAATTACACACCCACTTGACCTCAACACTTACCGGTTATTTTTCTCGATGAGATTCATAGCATAATCATCGCGTTCCATTTCAAACACAGTCAATAAACACGTTCAAGTGTCACGAAACTACTTAGATGCTTAGGTGTTTTAGAAAAAAATTACGCGCACTTAACAAAAATTTTACTATGCACTACGAGACGGAGCAACTTTCGAGTAGAGCGCAAAACCGAACAAGAAAAAAAAAGAAAAAAATGGCTAGAGAATTTGAAAAATCTCGTTTGGGAAGGGTCAATAACTCAGTCGAAGAACGAATGTTACATGCGAGTCGAAGAAAACACGCCACACGCCACACGCACACACACAAACCCCACAGAGCGTGCACGCAGAGAGGGAGCACAGGCACTTCGTTGAGCACAAGGTCTCTGCTGGTGTGGGCCGACAGGAGGGCGGGCGATGAAGAATGCGCGTTTGAGTTTAGAGAAAATTGCAAACGAACACAAAAGCACAATTTGCACTTATTATCGCGAGCGTGTTCGTATATGGCGTGGTTATGTGCGCCAAGCGAAGCGGCGAGCGGTGGAAAATTTATGAAGAAAAACTGGTTTGTTAGATAAATGGTCAGCTTATCGTCGTGCGGTCATGCAACAAGTGGCAAGTGCTGTTGTTTTGAGTGTCAGCGAAGTGGAAAGAAAAAGGACGCAAAGACAAAAGTAATTGTAGAAAATGCGTGTCGAAATACAAACACCAAAAGGAAGGCAATCAGTTTTTTTCTCTATTTCTGTAGTGTATTTTTCACATTTTCCTTTTTGTTTATGTGGTGTTTATAACTAATTATTCGTATTAGTTGTTGATTTTAGTAATTAATTTATTCTTAAAATTACTTTTCTGTTTTAGCTTTTGTATGTATATGTATATGAAAGTAATGTTAGAAAAAACCGCGAAAAATTGCACATTGAAAAATTATTGGCTTAGCACACCACACCTACTCGGGAAACTGACGCCGACAGACTGAAAATGCAACTCGTTGGATATCGTGCACTGAGCGCGCAGAAATATTTTGCATATTGCACTTTCAGCTGGCAATGGCCGACATGTCTGTCTGTGTGTGTACATTGTGCTAAGATTGATTAGGAACAGTGTAGGAAATATTAGGAAAAATGTTTAATAGATTTTTAAAAATAATTAAAATATGTAAAAAAAATTTATAAAATCGTGGAAATTATAGCATCAATAGGTCGTTAGTTGATTGCTCAATATGCGTTGAATTAGCGGTAAAGTGCGAAGAAAGTAGCATACAGCCCTCTTGGGGGATCAAGCAGTGCGCGTATTTAATTTAATTTTGGTAATTCTAAATTTTCAGTTCAAGCTAATTTACTGTGATAAAAACCCTAGAAATTTTAATACCAAAATATTTAGTAAAAGTTTTAATCAGTTATTTACCATAAAAAGCTATGAAATTAAAAAAGTGTATAAGCAAGTATGCAGGTCAGGAAAATGTCCACGCTATTATGTAAGTAGCTAGGCTTTTATGGCAAAAGCTTTCGGAAGCACTTTTTTTCGCAAATTAACACCAAGCACAGGGTGTGTAAGAGTCTTGAAAAAAAAATTATTAGAAATTAATAGTTAATTAAAAAGCATTTAAGTTCCATTAATTTAATTTTTATTTAATGTTTTTTTATAAAATTTTTTGAAATGTTTATGTATTAAATAACTAGAATTATTAATAATGCAGTTGAAATTATAAGTGAAAAAAATTTATTTACAAAATTTTCTCAAGACGGTTGAATATTTCATGTTTAAAATTATGGAGAATGGTAATGTCTTACAATCTAATGATAATTAAGTGATATTATTAAAGAGCGCAAATTAAACATTTTGATAAATATTATTTAATTTTATAATTTTATTTTTGTCACAATTTTAATATTAAAAATGATACTAAATTTTATTATTAATTTATGTTATTTCGTCATAATATTTTTTGTTTAATTATCATTATATATTTTGTTTGTTTTATATTTACTCTGTTTTAGTTTACTTTATGGTATTTTAGTTGCACAATTTTAAATAATTCTATTTTATTTTGATTTATCTCTTTTCATTATTTTTTATTTTGTGTTTTTAGTTTCTAGTTTGTTTAATACTTTTTCATTTCTTTTATTTCAATTTATTAAATTTAATTTATCTGAAATTGATTTGATTTAATTTCATTTAATTAAAATGAATTCATTGTATTTTATTCTATTTTATTTTATTATATTTACTAAATTTATTTTTATATTAATTTTATTAAGTAAACTACGAGGCCTTGTTGTTTGTATGAATTGAATAATTGTTATACAATAAAGAAAAAATGGTAGAAGTGACAGCAGTTTCGGAGATCACCACATCTCCTCATCAGACTTCTTATGGCAGGGATCGAACCAACGGATGCTGACTTAACAGGCGAGTGTTTTACCACTGCGCAAAAAAATAAGCCATATAATCTATTGTTGTATTATTCAATTCATTATTAACCAACAACTATTAATTATTAATTTTATATTATTTTATTTTATTTTTTTCATTACATTAAATTTAATTTTATGTAATTTGTTTTTATGTTCTTATTTTAATTTTTTATTTGATGTTAATTTTTGAGAAAAGTTAGTTTCTATATATTAAAATAAAAACTTTAATATATTATTTTTTAAATAAAATTTATTGAACATTAGCTTTCTATTTGAAAATGAAAATTATAATGATTTAGAAAAATGAAAATGTTTAAAATTAAAAAATCATGTAAATTAAAAAATTGAAAATTGTAAAATACAAATGTTAAAGTAGATTCCTACAATTTATTTTTTTGAATTTATTTTAATTTAATTTTCTATTCTATTTTATTTAAGTTTAATTTTTAACTTATTTGGTTTATTTTACTTTATTTCATATTATTTAATTTAATTTAATTCAATTTAGTTTATGATAGACTTAGGTTTACATTTCAGATTGTTTTTAATTTAAGTATATAAATTAACATAAAATAATTCAATGTAAAACCACTAGCCCTAGACCGTCGGCTGGTTTTAAGTTTTTAGTTTCATATTATTTTATTTTATTTTTATTTTTATTGTTAAATTGTTTTATTATTTGATTTCATTTTGGTTTATTTAATTTAATTTTATTTTATTTCGTTTCTATTATACTAATTATTTTATGTTATTACTTCTTATTAAAATTTTTGGTTTGTGCACCCCTCCGCCATTAGCTAAATAACAACGACAAAAATTTTCTATATTTTTAAATAAAAATCATTTTATATGTTTTTATTTAAGTACCTTTAAGTTTATACACATAATTTCCTATTTATAGTTACACTTAAAGGTAAAAATTATATTTAAGTTTTAGTTTTAGAAAAAGAATTAAATTTATACGTAGACAAATAAGATGTATTTTACATATACATACTTGACCCATCTGCATATTTACAATATAAAAAACACAAATTCCAAAGTCTTAGAATGTCAGTTGTTGATTTCTTTGTTGCATTAAATAACATTTGTTGATTACATATAAAAAAATGTATACAGATACATACATATGTATGTATTTATAACAAATGTGTACGTATATGTTTCCATTGCGAATATACATATTATTTTTGATTTTTTTTTGTTTTTAAATATACATATACACCCAGCTATACATATATGTGCAATACAAAGTTCTTTTTCTGATACGTGCAAATGTAGGTATGTATGTAGAAGTATGATAGCTAGCTTAGCTGCATAATTTGTTTTAAGGATTTTAAGTAAATTTATTTTTCGTTTGAGAGCAAATATTCTTTCATGGTGGAACTTGATTGTGGGCGATTATTATATAATTTGTTTTTTTTTTTATGTATAATGTCTTTTTGGTTTTGGATTTTTTGTAATGAGTGCCTTTGTTTATTTTTACTTTAATTTTGTTATTTCGACATATGTATTCAGAATTAGGAAATATTTTTAATTTTTTTTCTAATTAAAATTTCATCAGTTCAAGTATTTAATAATTAGATATTTTTAACTGAAAGCGAAAATGATTGAGCTGTTATTAGTTTTATATTTACATATTCAAAAGAAAAATAAATATTAAATTTTCACTTATTAAACAAATAAAACATAAATACAGCGCAGAAATGTATGAGAAAAAAATATACATACAAATAAAAAATTAAAATAAATAAAAACATTTTATTATACTTTATTTTATTATTACGCTTTTTTGTGGTTTTTAATTAGAATATCGCGTGATATATACATTTTAGATACGTCTTTACTTTTTCACTGTTAAAAACATCTCTTTTTCTACATCTGATCGATAAAACTTTCGTTGCTTTCACTACAATTTCCTCTATTTTTTTTTTGTAAAAACTCGTTTATCAATATTTTCGTCATTAAAACCATAATTCCAATTTCCCTTCGCTTCTATTTAACAATTCAAACATATTCTAGATTTTTTTTTGTTTTTTCTTTTAATTCTTAACAAAACTAAAACTACAAAAAAAAAAAAATTGTTTAATAATAAAAAATCCTTTATTATAGTTTTGGCCAAACTGTTTTGGATTGAAAATATTTCGAAGCATAATAAAACCAAAACAGTTATTTATAAATAATAATAATAATAATAATTTTGCATAATTGTTATATAAAAAATATTAATAAATGGAAATTACAAAATATTTTTTTATGTACATAAGGTTTAAATGAGCTTATTTACATGTTCATTATGACTTATATAAAAGTTTAGAAAAAAATTTTGCTTACATATACATATATTCACATAGATTAGTTATAAAGAATAATTTTAATATATAATAGTTTCAAAATATATATTTAAATCTGAAGTTGAAGTTGAAATTTATTTTTTATAAATTCAGTTCGGTACCAAAAACGAATAAAATTAATAAATTTTGTATTATACGATAATTGTCATTATTATTTTGTAATTTTTTATTTTTGCATATGGCATAAAGCAATACAAAATACAATATATAATACAACGCTTTCGTATCACAATTTTCATGGCTTCTATAAAACAAATTTGTCTTCTCTACTTGCTTTTGAGTTAATCATAAATATTGTTTATGAAGTGATTTTGTAGAGCAATATTTTTAATTTTCTATCCTCTAGTGATACAGTGAGACTTAAACACATGTGTATATGACAATTCTTATTTTAAAAAACATATAAATTTATTTTCAACTACTATGTATATATGTAAGTAGGGAATATGTATGGTTTCGACCGAACGTCTCATAATCTTTTTTCTTCCTCGCTTGCCCTTTTGCAGTTTTCTTTTCAAAAAGTACCTGAAGTAATTAAGGAAGGTAGTTGCATACTTTTGGGCGCTCATTAAAAATTTTTAATACGATTTAATAATATTCTAGGGAAACTAAAATCAAATAAATATGGATACGGAAAATCATCGAAATCGAATTTTGGAATTTGTTTAAAAAAACCTTGTCATCACAGAAGGTGCACCTCTTTCTTGTTACATATAAATTTGCTGAGGTGTGTAAAAATATAAAAATTAATTAGAAATGTTATACACACCTATGAAAAACTTTTAAACATCTCCTTTAATTTTGTAAATGTCAACTTGAAAACATGCAAAACGTGTTATAAAAAAGAGAAGAACAATTTTTTTTTGAGATTTGAAAATATCTTAAGCTGAAAGAAAGAAAATTTTTTATCTACAAAAGGAAAATAATGTTTACCTGTTGATAAAAAAAAATACAAAAACAAATATTTTTTAAATGCATTTCGCTAACATTTCATCAATTTTTACATTTTCTTCATACAGTTCACACAGTTTTATTTGTTTATACCATTAAAAAACCTTTTAACTAGTGCATCAAATAGAATAACATTTTAATTTAATTTTATGTACTTTTTTGTTTTTAACTATATTTATATTTTTTAAATTTCCATTGTTTTTTTTATATGTATTATTTATATTTGTATTTTTATTTTTTTATTATTCTAGTTAATTATCATTATTTTACTATCCTTTTAAATTTTACCTTTATTTTTATCTTTATCTTTATCTTTATCTTTATCTTTATCTTTATCTTTATCTTTATCTTTATCTTTATCTTTATCTTTATCTTTATCTTTATCTTTATCTTTATCTTTATCTTTATCTTTATCTTTATCTTTATCTTTATCTTTATCTTTATCTTATCTTTACTACCTTCACTTGTTTATTATGCATTCTAAATTTCCTCTTTATGATTTTGATTTGGATCGCATGCATGTCTGCTATTTAAAAATGTTGCTGTGGGTGTGTTTTAATTAATTGGAATTTTTATTTAATATTTTCTATAATTTAATATTTATTTATAATATTTCAAACTATTTATATGCTACACTAACAATTATTCATACCAAACAATTTTTCCCATACAAAAAAGTGTCTTGCGGAGTACCAGATAAAAATAAAGATAGAATGGAAGGAAAACTAAAGCACCGTTATGCACACATGCAACCTAATATTTACATACGTGTATGTATGTATATACAGCCATACACCTTACCATTATTATTTTTTATATTTTTTAGATAGTTTATTGTAAATTACATGGCCAGTATGCTTAAAAATTCTATAATAATTAAATTTAAGTTATTTATAAATTTTATATAATATATCAATTCAAGTTGCTAAATAATATCAATTTCATTTTCTATATTTTGTTTATACATAAAAGCAAACATTAAACGTATGATTTCGAATGAACTGAAATCAGCGTGAAATGCTCTTGGAACTGTCTTCTTTGACTGTCTACTTATAAAATATTTATATAACATCGATGTACATACATATTCACTTGTAATTACATACAGCGTACAACTACAAACTATAAACTACAACAAAGCTATAATCGTTTAGCGTATCAGATGAAGCTTCCAGCGCAGCACAAAGTATGCTATGATGCGTAGAGCGATGAATGTGCCCAACAGTGCGACTGCATCTATCCAATACTCGGCTTTGTCCATAGACATCTCCTCCAGGAATTTTTTGGGAAAGCGGAAATGACAATAAATTTCATGGCATTCCATTGTAGCTCGATCCATGCCGTAGATGGAGACCATAGCGCCTGCGAAGTGTGGAATTATCTAGCAAATGTAAAACAGTTTACTTTTACTTGAGTGATTCACTTACCTTCAAAGCCATAGCGCACATAACTAACGTAGGTCACCCACTGCAAATAACCGGGTATAGTATCGAAATTGACAAAGAAGCCGGAGAAGAGTATGGTCGGTATTGTTGTGACGGGACCGAGGAAAACGCCAGCTTCAATGTTCATGCCAGCACCAATGAGCAATCCCAACGACTGTGCGACCAGCGACGTTAGCACACAAATGAAGACGAACATGGTAACGCGCAAGGGTTCCATAGGCTGCGACGTCAAATAGTAGACCACAAGCACATAGACGCTGGAGAAGACGATCTGTGAAGTATGGAAATAGAGTGTCAAATATGTGCTCGTTTCAAGTGTAAATAATTTATTCAATAATTTAGCTAATAACTGAAATGAGTGAAATAAATAAGTAGTTCCTGCTTATTAAAGTAGTTACACAATACGACCATTGTATTTGTTTATTTGGAACTTTACTCAGATTTTAAATTGAATTAGTTTTTATTTAAGTTTTATTTAATTTCCTCATTTGATTTTTATTTTATTTTATTTATATAATTTAAAATTTTTTTAATTTTTTATTACTTTAATAATTTAATTTATATTTATTTATTATTTTTTTTAATAAAATTTATTTTTATTTTATTTTATTTTATTTTATTTTATTTTATTTTATTTTATTTTATTTTATTTTATTTTATTTTATTTTATTTTATTTTATTTTATTTTATTTTATTTTATTTTATTTTGTGTTATTTTATTTTATTTTATTTTATATTATTTTATTTTATTTTATTTTATTTTATTTAATTTTTTTTTATTTTATTTTATATTATTATTATTATTTTTTATTTTTTTGTTATTTTGCAATTTCTTCCAATCAGCATATATACGCAATTTCTTACCTGAAACGGCAGATCTGCCATCGTCTTGGCAAAATAGAACGCCTTCAGCGAGTACCAGTAGTTCAAATGCTCTCTCACGAATACCGACATTTCCGTTGGAACTAGAAGGATATACAATCAATTATTAACACTTGTGATCAACATACAACTTCTAAGCGTGCTCGCTAATGCTCATCAGCACATATTTACTTACACGTCAAAATGGTTGGCATCATTGCAGTGAACATCGTGAAGAGCGTCGTGAAGAAGATGCAACCTGCATTGCTCATCACTTTGGATGCCTCATTGCCCACATCGTAGTATATCATGCCGATGATGGCCCCGACAATGATGTGCGAGGCCAGGCGCATATGGGTCAGCATACGATCACGCATGATTGTAACAAAGGAACGTTTAAGGAGAATCCAGAACTGCGTCCAACCGCTTGTGGGGAAGCCCGAGCTGTTGGGCAGCGTTACGACGCTCTCATGTGAGTCTAGCAATGAAGTGGTACAACCGGCGGCAGCTGCCTTCTCTGCAGCTGTGTTAACCACCTGCCCACTCTTCGAGCTGAAACTGCAGCTGTAAGGCAGACCACTGCCGGAGTTGCTAGTGCCATTGTTACTGGCTGGAACGTTCATGTTGATAACGCTGCAGTCGGATTGCTGCGACTGTTGTGTCTCCAATATCGGCTGATTGAGCATATTCCCTTCCGCTTGCGTAGCAAATTGATCTGCCTTATTGCATTTCTCATCCTCCATGGTGAGCGTTGTAGTCGCTGTGAGCGTGGCATTGTTTGCACTTGTTGTGCTATTGGAATTATCACCCTTGACAATATCATTTGATATGCCACGTACACCATCCGTCGTCAGACTTGTCAAACCGTAGTCCTTTTGACTGTATTTCTTACACTCGCCGCTTTTGACCGCCGCCACTAGCTTTTGCACAGATTCGCCATACTCGCCGCTGGCTACTTCCAGCACATAATCGGCTGGATTGTGATATGAAGGGCAGTTATAGCCGAGCGACGAGAGGAATGGCACCAGACCGCGTACGCGTCCTTCGTACATGCACTGGCCCTCGGCGAGCATGTACAAGTGATCGAACTTTTCAAAGAGACGCGCCGACGGCTGGTGAATGGTGCAAACGATAGTGCGACCGCCACGTGCCAACGACTTGAGCAAAGAAATCAGCTGGAAACATGTTGAACTATCCAAACCTGAAGTGGGCTCATCGAAGAACATCACTGGCGGATTGTTGACCAACTCCAGAGCGATGGAGAGGCGTTTCCGTTGTCCACCCGACAAATTGCAGGTCTTTGTGTTGCTCGACTCTTTCAAACCGATTGTTTCGAGTATCTCGTCAACAACAACTCTCTTCGCTGCCAAATTCATGTCTTTGCCCAACTTCAAGTTGGCAGAGATCATCATGGCCTCATGCACAGAGAGATTCGCTATGAGTATGTCGTCTTGCATTATGTAGCAGGACAGTTTACGAAAACGACGTAGATTACGCTCTTTACCATTGATCAGCACCGAACCGCTCAGCTGTGAGGTTCTGAAATGAAGAAAGTGATGGATTAGTGGATGTAAAAGTTAAAGGAACGAAAGGAACAATATTTCTCAAAAAATATACTCCGATAGACGATATTCGGACTTTGTATCCGAAGGCAGTTCTATGCCGTATACCATGGCGGTAGAGGGTTTCACTGAGAAATCAGGAACATCGAAACAAGCCCATTTGATTTTTTTAAATTTATTGAAATTAAAAGAAATTTTTCAAATGTTTTCAAACTCGAAGTTGAAATTGTAGTCTTAAAAGATGCCTAGATAAAGCAAGCAAAGAAGGAATATCGAACAACTGCAACTAGAAAAACTCTTTTCTTATAAATAAAGACTTTTTCGACTATTTCAAAAGACTTGCAGCTCTTTACGCCTTTTTACAAAAGAAAGAGACCATTTCTCCACAATTGTTTCTTTTGTTATTGAGCTGATAAATGGCTAGCGAGGCGAGTTGTCAATAAATTACTTATCATATAAGCGAAGAATAAATCAACAATGGACTGTGGGCCTGAAAAGTAACTTAATATTGCGACAAAAGCCATAATAAATGCATACACAATAAGTCTTCACAAACATGCCGAAGTACAAAGAATCCCAGGAAGAAATCTCAGTGGGTCTTAGTTTTTCTTAATTCTTTAACTCATTCCAATGGAAGGCAGTGAGTAATGCCTATATTGTTTGGACCATTTAATATGCTTACGTTATTTCTTCCGACAATGTGTAATCCGTAAGGTTAGATCTTCGGGCGTCGTGAAAGATGTGACCACTCAATTTGTTCCGCGCATGCTCTGCACTCAGCTAATTCCACTTTACCGAGCTTATGGCGTGGATACCCCAAGGGTAGATGTCCCATCAATACAACCACAAGATTACTAAGTTCTCGTGTTCTTCAGTTTGTTCTGTCTACAATCCATACTGCCGCATAAAAATTCGGTGGTACGTCCTACGGTGCGCTGCTTCCTCCTGACCAGCGCGAGCCAGCTCATCCGCTTTTTGCTGCTTTTTACAACCGTGTGGACCGGGACCCAAATGATATTCACGCATTTGGTTTTTCCTTTTTGATATCTTAATTGCCGCTGGACTGTTTAGTAAAAACCTGATAGATCTTCCTGTTAAAGTAGTTGCTCATTTGACAGCTTGGAAGCTACCTGGGCTATTTGCGTGGTTACAAAAGAATCCAGCATCTTTGCTTGCCTCGCATTTGGACCCATCAGTATAGATATGGACATCTTGAGTATTTCCAATGGCCCCATTCTTCCTTGCTAGGGACGTAGGTGGCAACGTCTCCATTACAATTGGAATGGATACCTTATCTAGAGTATTTGGGCGGCTAACGGTTGGCACTGTTTCATACGATACTTGATTTTAATTGGCCTAATGTCAAGGATTTGTTGGAAAAATATCAAGACGCAAGACCACAAATTGGAATCTCGTATTTAGAATGTCGTATTTCCGACGAGTTATGTTTTGCCATTTGATGGTCTTCTACTTTAACTTGCTGGGATAAACTAATACTTTCAAAATGGAACTAATACCCTCATAGACTTATTCTCGCAAGCATTTATTAGTTAATAATCGGCAAAACGGTAAACAAAATAGTGATGAAAAATCAAAAAAAAAAAAAAAAAAAATACAAAGACATTTGAAGAATGTCGCAAGAATGTAAAAGGAAACAAAAGGGAGAAGTTATAAACTGCTTTACAAACATACAAATACGAGCCTTTGTAAAATTCCTTTGGCGCTGAAGACGCGTGTGAACTTATATTTGGGTTAAGGAAAATAAAGAAATCGCATTTTGTCGCTTTATGGCTTTGCAAACTATGCAAAAACTAGCACAAGGAAGGAAGCCATAAAACAAAATAAGTGAATAGAAGGCCTAAAATCAAACTGCCTGGCATATTGTAGTCCTGGCAGGCCGTATACTTTTTCTATATATACATACCAGTATATATTTTTACTGCAATCGCAAAGTTTTCATAATTACTTGGGACTTATTGGATTAGGCGAACTTAAGTATAGGATTATAGTTCCCGAAGACTGTGGCCACGTGTTTTGAAGTTTCATACTTTTTTGCCATTTATTAACTTTTGAAAAACTTTTTTTCTCTGCTTAACTCTACTTTATTTCTATGTCCGCTTTGTGCTTTTATACTTACTTGTAACCAGCGAGAATGTTCATAAGTGTACTCTTCCCCGCACCGGAGGGCCCCATTATGGCGGTTAGCTCACCATTGCGAAATTTGCCCGAAACACTGCGCAGTATAGTCTTTAAACCGCGCCTTCGTCCTTCCGACACCGAATATGATATATCAGCGAACTCTATATCGACTGGTGGCCGCTGGGGCAGATGTGAGAGCATGACAGTACCCTTCTTCTGGCCATTGGGACTGCAGTTGTTTTGTTTCTTTGGTGCGAGTATGTGATTTTGACCGGCAATACCGCCGTTGCATAAATTACTTTGCGTACTGAAATGGAGAGAGAGAGAGAGAGAGAGAAGAAAACAATTACAAATCGTTTATTTTTTATAATCTGACATAAATAATATTTTTGTTATTTTAAATATCTATTATAATACGATTACTGAAGGAAAGAGATGTAAATAGTTGGCGAAATGGTAGTGAAATAGAGATATTACTGGGAAGAGGTAGAGCCCGCTTCTTCGGTGCCCTGAAATTGTATTTGAATTTATTCGTCTTATCTTCTTGAGTCAAGTGGAGGAATAATATTGAGGATTGATAACAAAAAGTTGGCAAAAACGGTTTTCTTTTCATTGGTTTGTAAAAAGACCATGACGTTATTTCTTCAATTGTTTCAAATGGTCTCTTTGAGTAGATTGATTTGAAACATCGACCAAGCTGCACTACTATGCTTTTATTAGTGGGAAGAACATTGCTGTTGATTTCATGAATTGAAGTAACGTTTTGACCCTCAAGGCACTGCTGATTGAATGCGTAGCCTTTCTGCGCCAAGTAAGCTCAGCCTTAGCCTCACAGATTATGTGGTTCACAACCTCCATAGAGTCCCTGTAGGACTGTATTTCCCACACTTGTTGTCCTCTATCAGATCTATATTAAAAGTCCTACCAGCAGCATGAATCAGGCTTTTTACTGCTAGTGATAACTTTGTAAGTTCAGCACAGAGATTTAGGGAGTCTAAGGCTCTTGGCTCGTTCACTACACTTCCCTGCATGGAACTGATTGTTTATGACCATACCTGTGCCTCATAAATATTTTCATTTGCTTTTGTCTTGTTTTAAGATAGATCAGACCACGGAACACTTTAATTTCTTCTGGAATAACGATTCTGCATTAGCAGGAAAACTGGATACACCACAGAGGTAGTCTAGTTTTCAACTTTTTCTGTAATATTTTCAGGTTGCGGCAGTTTAGAAAGGTGGAAATTCGCACTCTGTGTTCGGGGATGCCTTGAACTCAACTATGAGGAAACTATATAGCTGGAAGTGGGTTATAATGCTGCACAGTCTTTAGGCTCTTCATGTTATTCGTCTTTGTAGATTAGATTTGATGCCCTCAGGAGAAGTTTCTTAAAATTTCGTTTTTACAATTACATGAAATTACTGTCTTCGGCTGGTCGTGGAGTTTTTTATTTAGAGGATCAAACTTCCGAGCTTAAAGTGCACTTGGAATTTATAAAGAAAATTATTTTATTTGAAATTTAAGTAAACACTGGGTCAAAGTATTAGCGATGTGAGCTACAAGACTATTCAACGTACAATGAAGAAGTTTGGTTTCGATCAGCTAATGTTGGCCTTGTGTGGTCTTCCTGGCCCAAATTGAGTCGCAGAATTTCTGCCTTCCTGCGACTCAATTGGTTGTGCTCACAAGATCAAAATATGCTCAATGATCGGAATGTTCGATATAGTTGGATTTTGGTTTACTATTCTATTCAAAGTTGTCTAAAAGAGTTTTTGAAGTAATTTTTCTCCTACTTTTCTTCTACCTTTCCTGGTCAGGCCATATTAAAAATCTTCAAAAATTCCAATTTTAAGAGAAAGGATCTGTATGGGAGTCTCTACGCTACATTTCTTTGAATTTCTATTAAATACTAATTTTATAAAGTGAAACTACATTATTTGCTCATTTACTTCAATGGCTTCAACCAGGCTGTCATTTTAGCGGCGAACTCCTGCCGAAGTTGACCTGAATTCTGCCATTGTTGCACTGTAGGCGCTCCTACTTCGTCGCCGTCATCTTGACGCTGCTGCAATGCCGCACTTACATAACCATTCTTTGTGAGTTTCGTTTGCACATAACAGGATAATGGCCGTGGACGTCGTGTATTCGATTTGCCCGCATCGTTATTGCAATCCTCCAGCATGTCCGCATAGGCTGCCACATACTCGGAGTGCCGGCGTTGCACCGCAAAATTGTCCACAAAGCCCTGGTTACGTATGCCGCCATCCGCATCACGCCTAATTCTCGTTGGCATTGGGCCTGAAGGGATGTTCGTTGTGTTCGCGTGGCGAGGGACAATGGCTTTGCCTTTGCTGGCATTGTCTCCTCGTGGGCAATGCAGTACCAGTTGGTTGTCACTGCCGGAACTGCTGCTGCTGCAACGCGTTAACAGCTGTGGCTGTGAGGTTGTTAAATTATCTAAAATACTGCAACCGGACGTGTGCGACATGTTTAATAAGGTGTTTTGTGGAAGGATGTTTGATTTTCTTTAAGAAATAATATATGTTTTTTAGTTTTAAGTATTTGTTGTAATACTGATTTGATCACATTTTGTGCTTAAAGTTGATATTCACTTTTCTTATTTGCGCAAGGAGCAACCGTGTTTGTTGTTGGGAAATTTTCAATTTTATTTTAATAGAGAAAGTCCTTTTTCGTGGAAAGTTGTATTTATTTTTTTAGTCAATATGTATAAATTTTATTTTATTTTATTCACATTTATTGCCATTTCGATTATAATTAATTTACTTTTAAGACTCCATCACAGTACATATATCCTCTTTAAATTTCCATTCAAGTATCACTTAAAATTTAAGGATAATTCGATTAATTTTTAAACCTTTTTTAAATTCATAACTGCCGGTCGACTAGAACGTTCACTTTACGTCCATCAGCAAGCACTGAACAATGCTCGCCTGCCCAGCTATATTTACACATAAAGTTTAGTACCTCTGCTTCTTCTTATTGTTTAACTTGGGCTGACGAGCGCATTGTTCTGCCCGCTGTAAAGCAGTCTACTGTTTGCTGTCTTAGCTTAGCTTGTCTTGGTACGACTCATCGCAAACTTGGCTGGGCGCTGAGCACTGAGACCAAATGGGGACCAAATGCATTTCTCTGTGAGTGTGTAGCTTTGAGTGAGTATGTGTGTGTTTCGGACTCTGAATGCGACGCAGTGTCTCTGTCAGTTAAATGACAGGAGCATCACACACTACTGCTGTTGGTGATTTCATGAATGGCTCGTAATGATATGCCGCCGACAAATCTCAACACAGTTTTATGTCTTGATGACAGTTCTGCTCGACATTGCTTAGCATTGCTCAGCATCGGTAGTTAAGTACTTGTAATGAAATGACAGCTGATGATGTGCCCGAATGTAATCACGTAAGATGCGTGAGAATGGCAATACAAAGCGGAAGAAAAATGTTGACTAGGGAAATGGGGATGATACAGATAGTTTATTGACTATTCACCACTTTCCTATGCGATAAGGGTAGCTGGTCTTTTTAAAGTTTTCTGCTTTTATGACGTATATTTCAATACAATTTAATGCGTACAATGTATGTGCAGCGAGTGAATGGCCGGTAATCAGTGGTTAAGAACTTTTAAACTTTTAAAGATGAGTACAAATTGCTACGACATGAAATGAATAACTGCTCCACTGTTTCTGTTTGGAATACAGTTCTACTTAAAAAAGTAAAACTAAAATAAAATAAAATAAATTAAAATGAAATAAAATAAAACAAAACAAAATAAAATAAAATAAAATAAAATAAAATAAAATAAAATAAAATAAAATAAAATAAAATAAAATGAAATAAAAATAAAAATAAGAAAATGAGCATAAAATAAGAAAAAATTAAATAATATAAAGTTTAACTTACAAAAAATGGAAAGGTATATAAAAAGAAAAAAAGTTAAGAAGAATTTTAATAAAATAGAATAAAAATAAAATAAAAATAAATAAATAATAATATATAATAAAAGCTGAAAGTAAATTTTTTAAATTGTTTGAAAGGTTTGATAAATATTTTGTGAGCTAACAATTTCAAAATTTTTTTTTTTTCATTATGACGTGACATTGTGACGTGAGTGTCTATATATAGAAAATGTTGACCTCTGATGGGTGGAGGCGCTTAAAATGTTGACACGTAGTTTAAATAAGGTTCATAAAGCGTAAGCCTCATACAATCAATTGAAATTAATTGTGTCAGCATAAGTGGTAAATATGTGCCTATATACATACATATGTATGTATGTATGTATGCATGATTGTAAGCGATTATGAGCAGTGATTCTCTTAATGGTTCCCGTTGGAAATCGGAATGAAAGGAAAATAGTCAATTGTTTATTACTTTTTATGCACATTTTTCATTAACTTGAGGAAGGTTACTCATTTCATTATTCTGCCATCTGTAACTTCTTAATTCTTTCATCGTCGTTTTGATTAATGTATTTAAGTACATATGATTGTGAGTACAAAAAATTTGAAATAACTTTCGGTTTACAAAATACTATAGAAAAACTTCGCCAAGAAGGAGTTACAGAAACTGATATTAAACGGTCTTAAACCAACGCTAAGCAATGGTTGAAGTCTGGAAAATATTCGGTGAAAGCATAGATCGCATGAAGGGGGCGTAGAAATCTTAGACACTGCACAAGATAAAAAATATATATTTCTCTTAGCATTTTGATAGCTTAGAGTGGTTTCATGTCGTTTCTGTAACCCTTTCAAACTGATATCTCAACACCGTCACTGGAATTTAAGTGCAAAATTATGACGTATTCGCGTAAACATATGGTTGCGTACGAGTATATTTGTGTATGCTTAATTTTATTGACAACGAAAAAATGTGAGCATATAAAAAAAGTTTGTATGTACATATGTTGGTGCCGTTGATTTTTATTGCTCTTTATACCACTTTGAGAAATTCACTCTCATGCACGTTTAAGTGCAAGTTTATATGTATTTAGTTAAGCAGCACTCGCAACCTGTAGAGATATCTCTAGCTACTGTACAGCTGACCATTAATCAATTTGGAAATAAATGAGGAATTGAGTGGAGTGGAGTGGAGTGGAGTGGAGTGGAGCTTGTTTCCAAGTTAGTGATTAAACACATACTCATATACATCCGTGAATATATATTATATATATTAATATATATATATGTATGGCCTTTGAGCTGTTAATTGATAATAAATAGAAAACAAATAAAATTTGTTAAACAAATATAAAAAAAAATACAAAATAAATAATGAAATTCCAATATCATACAA